CTGGAGCCGAGCGTGTTCTTGCTTGCCAAGACATGCTCTGTGGGGCCCCCCCCCCAAGTTTTGTGTCTGCAAAGGAATAACCGCTGCGCTGCAAAAACAAAACAGGATCCTCTTCTGGCAACCCTTTTGCCACGCGAGAGAGGATTTGTGGCAGCCTCTGCCACCTCCAGCCCTTTGCAACTGTTGATTTTTGCTGTCAAAAGTTTGCACTGTGTAATGGGAAGCGGTCATGCTGCCTTCCTGGGCTTGCTGGGTGACCTTGGGCCAGTCACATGCACTCAGCCTAGCCTACCTTAGAGGGCTGTTGTGAGGATAAAATGGCAGAGAGGAGAATGATATAAGCGCCTTGGGGCCCCTATTGGGAAAAAAGGTGGGGAATGAATGAAGTAAATAAATAATACTCTTTAAAATTGAGTATATTTTGAGCCATGGAAGTTAAAAAAAAAAACCAAGCAGCAAATAAAACAGAATAAAAACAAAATTGAATAACAGTAGAAAAGCAAGTAAGTAAAATTGAATAACAGTAGAAAAGCAAGTAAGTAAATCACTAAGAGCATTTATATGTATTATATAACCATAGCAAGCAAATAATCAGCAGGTCGGACAGGAACTACGGTAAAAATGGAGGGAACGAACCTTCTGAGAGAGCCTGGGAGGATAATAAAACAGCAGATAACTTAAAAAGAGGTTGATCTGGTTGTGAAGAGGCACCAGGCAGAGGGCACTCCACAGTCTGAGCTGCAGCAGAGGGCCTGTGGCTCAGTGCCAGAGCATCTGCTCTGCATGTAGAAGGTCCCAGGTTCAATGGCTGGCATCCCCAGGTGAAAGGATCACGTGATGTGAAAGACCTCAGGGTCTCTGGATGCTGGAGAGCAGCTAGTGCTGACCTGGAGAGACCAAGGGTCTGCCCAGGGGTCATTTAGTAGAAAAAGAGGTGCAGGAGCTCATTAGCATAACTCATTAGCATAACTTGTTTGCATATGCCACACCCCCTGACATCACCGGAAGTGTATCAGAAGGCAACACCCACCGCTCAGGCTCCACTGGACTGTTTTGGATTGCTAGCTATTGGTGGGGGATGGGACGTGCAGAGATCTGTCCTGGCAGAGGAGGGAGAGCTTGTACCTGAATAAAACTTGGTCTTAAAGGTGCCACTGGACTGTTTTGGACTGGGGGGACGGGGGCTTTGCAACTTACCTGGCTGCTTCTTGCTCTGACTGAGGGCTGCTGGGAGCAGGGGGTGGGGCTTGTTGCATGTGCCCGCCCCCTGGGGGTCTTTACTGCCAGAGCTCCGCTCCTGTGCGCTCCTGCAGGAAATGACCCCTGGGTCTGCCTCAGGATAAGGTGGCTTTATCTATTCTAAGGTGGCTTTATATGTTCTCACTGGCAGTCTTTAAGCAGCGGCTGTACAAACATTTGTCAGGGGTGCTCGAGGCTGATCCTGCATTGAGCAGGGGAGTGGACTAGATGGCCTGTCGGGCACCTTCCAACTCCGTGACTCTGTGATTCTAAATATAAAGCCACCCTATCCTGAGGCAGATTCTTGGTCTCTCTAGATCACCCCTGGCTGCTCTCCAGCGTTCCAGTGATCTCGTCAGATCTCAGAAATTAAGCAGGGTTGGCCTTGGCTAGTATTTGGAAGGGCACCCTCCAAGGAATACCAGGGTCGTGATGCAGAAGCAAGCAATGGCAAACCACTTATTAAATGTCTCTTGCCTCAAAAACAAGTCTAGCTCTCCACCTTAGTGGTGCATAATGCTAAAAGAGGTAGAGCTTCTGACTGCCAGACAATCTTAGGATCTCCTGGCTATACTGCACACAGTGCCATACAATGATGATGATGATATGTTCTAAAAGGCCCCATCCTTGGTATTGAATCTTATATTTTAAAAATAATGTATCTTTCATGTTTCCCCATACGGATCTAAAGCAGCTTACAAACATTAAAAGCAGACAAAAAGATGACCTATCAGTGCCTGGTTAAAATATTGTGTTTGTACAAAGGCATTGTTAAAATCGTAGGTATTTAATTAACTGGTTGTATGTTTCCCCCCCTTGAAAATCATTTTAACTGATGCTAAGCAAACTTTTTCGCATCAAATTAGCTCTGCCAACTTCTCAGTTCAATCTTATCTCAATTCAGTGTGTGATGGTGACTTGTGGTTAAGTTCTGTCCCTTTTCGTCAAGTGCTTATCACTTTTAACTGTGTGTGTGTTTGAGACAGTTTGCCTTAACCCTGGCAACCCCAGGAAGGGAGCATGAACTTTACCTGTCTTTCAAACAACCACCTCTCTCCTTTAGGGCAGAGCTGTCCCTGCATACTGCTGTATGTTGGGATATGTCGACAGCTGGAAAAATAGAGAACCTCTTCTCATCCAGTGTATGAACTCTTAGAGCTGTCATTTTGCAAGCACAAGGTCCCAGTTTCAGTCCCCAACATCTCCAGGTAACTGGTAACATGAAAGATGTTGACTGGAGATGTTGTAGATCTGCTGCCAATCACAGTAGACCACACTGAACTTGCTTGGCTAATGGGCTGACCGGGTGTAAGGCAGCTTCATGTATTTGTTCCAAAACTCCCTTTCTGTGACTCCACTATGGAAGAAAAGCCAGTGGCCTGGAACTAGCCTTCAAATGCTTTACTACTGATTCTCCTGCTTTGCATCAGCTGGCCTTCACCTTGGCCCTGATACATGTCTTTGGAGAGAAGTTGTAGCTCAAGCTCTGATTTCCTAAGACGTCAACCTTGTGCGGAAGCTGAAAAGGAGATCCTGTGATACCTTAACGATTTATTCTTGTGCAACCTCTTTGGCTCACTGCCTCTAAGAAGCTCAGAAAAGTCGTATGCTATGACAAATGTGTTGTCTTTGTGGTGTCACAGGTGTCCTCTGTAGTTTTTCTTCTTGCAACAGGCTAGCTTGAGTACTCCATTGGAATTTGTATTCATGGGAGAATCCTGTGCGGATTTTTTTAGTCTATCAGATTGGTGCAGAAACATGCAAATCATAAGCGGTCTTTTAACTTTCATGTACCGGGAAACCAGGAAACATGGTAGGGAACTCAGTGCCTGTGTGTTATATAAAAAGACAATTAGCTGCTAGGCCTCATATTTTCAAAGGGAGGGTGGCCATTTTGTTTCCGGCTTTTCTGCCCAGGCAGCCCTTGGTGTTGCCTGATATCTGCTTGCATATAACACCAAGCAATTCAGTGAAGTCGGCAACACACATTCCATTTTGTGACTGTAGAAACTGCATACTCAGGGATTTTCTACTTATTTGTTGTTCAGGGCACTGGAATCCTGTCCTTCTTCCAAGGAGCTCCAAGTGGCTTCCGCCATTCCCCCCTCCTCCATTTCATTCTCACAACAGCTTTGCGAGGTAGGTTAGGCTGAGAGAAAACGGCAATCCCAGAGTCCTCCAGTGAAGGTTTTTGACAAGCGGGGGCTTGAACCGGGTTCTTCTCAGCCCTAGTCCAGCACTCTAACCACTACTCCACAGTGTCTCTCTGTGATGATTCCACCATGCCCTGAACTACTGTGGTGTTTCCCTGTCCCTTCTCATTGATGTATGGCATTATTCATCTTTAGGGTTGCCAGGTCACCTTGGTGCTCCACCAGGGAGATTGGGGGGGCATTCTGGGATGTTCCCCAACGTGACGACGTCCCATGCTCTGTTTTAAGGGCAAGACTCTATGGTAAAACGAGCTTAAAACCATGGAGTTTTGCCCTTACACCAGAGCGTCCCCCTCACAACGTCCCCAGCGTGATGCTATCACTTCCGGGTGATGGCATCATGTCGGGGAAGTCATGCAGGGACGTGACTGTTTGGGAGCAGGGAGAAGCCCCCGAAACCATGGGAACCCCCGCCCTGGGGACTGGCATGCCCGTTCATCTTGTTGAGCCAGTGTGGTGCAGTGATTAGACTGTTGGGCTAGGATCTGGCAGGCCCAAGGTTTATTTCGCGCTATGCCATGAAAGCTTGCCAGCAGACTCTCAGCATAACCCAGCTCACAGGGCTGCTGTGAGCAGGGGTCATTTCGTAGAAAAAGAGGTGCAGGAGCTCATTAGCATAGCTCATTAGCATAACTCATTTGCATAGGCCACACCCCCTGACATCACCGGAAGTGTGTCAGAAGGCGACACCCACCGCTCAGGCTCCACTGGTCTGTTTTGGATTGCTAGCTATTGGGGGGGGGGGAACGTGCAGATCTGTCCTAACAGAGGAGGGAGAGCTTGTACCTGAAGAAAACTTGGTCTTAAAGGTGCCACTGGACTACTTTGGACTGGGGGGCTCTGCAACTTACCTGGCTGCTTCTTGCTCTGACTGAGGGCTGCTGGGAGCAGGGGGTGGGGTTTGTTGCATGTGCCCGCCCCCTGGGCTCTTTACTGCTGGAGCGCCGCTCCTGTGCGCTCCTACAGGAAATGACCCCTGGTTGTGAGGATAAAATGGAGGGGTGGTGAGCCACTTTGGGTCCCCATCAGGGAGAAACGTAGAGTATTGATGAAGTAAACAAATAGTTTTGGGGTGTTTTTTTGTTTTTTTTACTGTACTTCCAGTCTGGTGAAGATTTCTGTTGAATGTGAAACCTTCCACACTGTTTTGTGATATTTTGGCAGTCTCAATAAAAGGTATTATGTGGCTTTTGCTTATGGAAAGAAGCAGAGGAGTTTCCATGTTCTAGTAAGGCAATAGATTGCCTGGTTAGCTTGTATGTTACCTGGACTCTCCCTGTTGTCCACTGGTGTCTCTCCTCTGTTCTTCTGGAGGAAAGAAAACAAGGATAATAAAAATAAAACAAACCAGCTGTATTGGGTGGATTGATACCAGCTGTATGTTGTAGAAGGGAGATGCAGGGTGGGGGGGAGTGGGAAGAGCTTGTTGGAGTACTGGGGAAAAGATCCACCCTGTTTTGTTGGAGAAAGAGGTCTCAGCGACATGGGTGGTGGTGGTGGTAAAGTTTGTTGAAAACCACATGACGGTTTCTCCTCTTGTTTCTGCAGACTCTTCGGAGGTGAAAACTGAAGAGGAGATGGATTTTTTGCAAGGCCTCACAGAGAACGCCACTTCGGAAGCAATCGTAAGTTCTTCCTGACACCCCTGGTTTTCATGGTTTTCGAAAGGCATGTGACTCTCGGTTGAAATCATGAATCTCCTCCTCCTTTGTTACAAGGAAGGCAAACCTCTGTTTTTATTCTCTTCCCCCGTTTTTGTTGCTCCTTTCTCAAAACAACCCCCCCCACCCCCCACCCACCCCGCTCCTGGTGGGAAAACTTTCAGTCATGGACTAGTTGATTCACTGCCATACGCATCGGTTTGGGGGCTGAGCTTCTCACAGAGCTCTGAGTGCTTCAGCCACATGAGCCGGACTGAGAATGACTTGGTTTGTTGCATCGTAAGAGCTTGACTGGGAGTCTAGTCAGGGTCGTTTCCGGCCGTTTTCCGTCGACCTCCTTTGGGAAATACACGTCTCCATAGCTCTGTTTGTCATCTCCTTTGCACAGTGTGTTGGGGATCAGCAACTGGTAGCTTAAGGGCTCAGTCTGGCCTGCCAGACCTGCCCGTCTGGTTCAAGGGATTGGTCTATGGCCCTGGGGAGCCTCTTGGTTATGGGCTCAGCCCCCTGGGTTTGTAGGTTGTACCCTGGAGGAGGCATGAGGACTTTACTGCATCTGGTTGCATGGGCGACACAGAATTTGTCGCTGGCTTTCTCATCAGAAGTTCTGGAACGGTGGTAGGTTTGTGTTATCTCAGTGAGGCATTTTGCATCTCTTGCCAGTGTGGTGTAGCGGTTAGAGGATTAGACTAGGATCTGGAAGACCCAGGTTTGAATCCCCGCTCTGCCATAGAAGCCCGCTGGGTAACCTTGGGTCTACCTCATAAGGTTGTTGTGAGGATAAAAAAAAGGAGGAGAGGGGAATGGTGTGGGCCCCTTTTGGATTCCTATTGGGAGAAAGGAGGGGGTATAAATGAAGCAAATAAATAAATTGTTGATTCTTGTTGGGTCATTTGCAGGGCAGCACGATGGGTTTTTAATAACTGTACCGATTTAAGGGCGGGAACCAATTCTCAGAATGATTTACATGCAAGTGAGACCATTGGTCCCTCTAGCTTGCTACTTTGGCAGCTGCTCTCTAAAATCCAAGAAAGGTCTTTCTCAACACCCTGCGGGACCTTTTGCAGTTCCGCAAGGCCTGTAAGACGGAGCTCTTCCGCCAGGCATTTAACTAGGGGCCGCCGCTACTGCAGGCCCTTACTGCAGGCCATTACAGCAGGTCTGGCCCGTGGTCTTAACATCTAACTGATTATGAGCAGAAACAACGTGGAACATCTGGGCAGTGGAAATTTATTCCTGTAATATACCATCTCGATTAATTTAATCAGTCGCCAGCACTTTGTATTTATAATGTTTTATTGTTGGTTAAATATTGGGTATTTTAATGTATTTATGTTTTTATGGAAGCCGCCCTGAGCCCGCTTGCGGGGAGGGTGAGGTACAAGTGTGATAAATAAATAAATAAAACACCAGAAATCCTTTAAAGGAAGAGGCCAGGGCCTTATATATGGGAAGCGGGTGCCCTCCCCCTGAGTTGTAGCCTTTCTAATTGCATCCGGGAAGTTTTTTTTGAAGGGATTCTGGGCTGCGTTAGCAGGCTATTTTCCTATCTTCCCCCCCCCCCCCTTTAAGTGACCGTCAGCTGCTCTTAAGTGTTTGTGTTCCTGGAGCCTGCTCAGACATACTGTCACGCTATTATTTGCAGGGTTTTCTTTTCATTTTCCTTTGTAAATTAATCATACTCTTATTGTTCTGCATATGGGGGGGGGGGGGTGGGGAGTGTTTGCCCAAATGAACCTGCCACCCAGGGCTCTTTTTGTAGAAAAAGCCCAGCCGGAACTCATTACCATAATAGGCCAACAGCAGAAACTCATTAGCATATTAGGCCACACCCCTGGCAGCACAGCTCGTTAGCATATTAGGCCGCACATCCAGAGGTCATTTCGGGAGGGATCGCGGGGGAACGCAGTTCCGCCGGGTGAGGTGCGGGGGGGCGGGGCACATGACGAAGCCCCGCGCCCTGCTTCTGGCCGCCCCGCTTCCAGCCCTCATTCAGCCAGGAGGAGGCAGGAGAAGAGGGAGGGTAAGTTGCTTCCTCCCTGCCTCTCCCCACCCCTGCCTGCCTAGGGCCAGGGAGGGCCTTGGCGGGGCTTCCTCGCACTCCCGCCGGCCTTGCAGGTCCACCGCCGGGCCCCTGATGTCAGGGGATGTGGCATATGCTAATGAGTTATGCTAATGAGTTCCCCTAGCTCTTTTTCCATGAAATGACCCCTGCGCACACCCCATGTTACCAGAAGTGTGGTCATCCAGCCACACCCACCTTTTGCTTCTTATTCCGTTTACCTTGTTTGTTGTCAAAACCCAGGGCTTTTTTGTAGCAGGAACTCCTTTGCATGTTAGGCCACACACCCCTAATGTAGCCAATCCGAATGAGTTCTTGCTGTTGGGTGTGGCCTATTATGCTAATGAGTTCCTGCTGGGCGTGGCCAACTCAGGAGCCAGCCGGAACTCCGCTCCTGTGCGTTCCTGCCCAAAAATAGCCCTGCTGCCACTATTTTGCCGCTTTTGAGACTAGCCGCCGCCGCCGCCAGCCACCTTACAGTCAGATGTAATCCCAGAGCAGGGATATCTCCAGTGTAGTGCTCATGGGAGCCATGGCCCCCTCCAGCACCTTTCCTACTGCCTGCCAAGTGTTTGTGGAAAGTGGGAGGGACCAGGCCAGGTTTTGCCCAGCAAGGCTTCCAGTTGGCCACTGCTGGCTTGATTGGCTTTGCAGATTTTTAAAAAACGTTGCTTTGGCAGTAGCTGCCACCTCAGCATGAGGGTCTTCACTGTGTGACTGAACTAAGTTGCAGGAACTGTTTGGTGGGTGCCATTTTGTGGCTCCCCCCCCCACTATATCGGAATTCCATAGGTGCCCACAGGCTCAGAAAGGTTGGGGACTCCTGTACGATAACTGTCTTTCAAGTTTCTCTGACTTTTCTTCTTGTAAAACCCATCTGTCCTAGTGGTCCTCACATCGCATGGCAGGAGTGAGGGAAGGCTGAAATACCTGTGAACACATATGCCGGCAGCAGCCAGTATTTCTACCCTGCTTTATGATGCAGAGGCCGATTTCACACAAGAGCTGCGCCGCGGTCGCGCCTCCCTTTGCCCCGCTTCTACTGGTCGATTTCCCACTCGAAGCCGCGCGGCTGCATTTTGACCCACGGCTTCGCTCGATTTCCCCCGCGGTTTCGTGATCCTGTTTTTTGAGTTATTTAGTGATAGGGAGGCCTGTGAAGATGCAGGATGGTGCCTGTGAAGGTGAGGGGCAGAGCTCAGGGAAGTGACCTTGCTGGGACAGTCTGATGGATTCCAGACCTTTTAAAACCGTTCAAACCCTCCTGTGCCCTTCCTCTGATTATGTGCAAGTAATTTTTTGATTAATAAAAAAAGATACGCACGTTTAGCATGTTACGTTTTCTTTAGAGAATGCTTGTGTTTTTATCTTATCACTCTCACAACAGCCGTGTCAGAGTAGGTCAAGTGTTGTATTGCAGATTGGAGTTTGGATGCTAAGGCAGAAAGAGAGAGATACGGCAGGGGTGAATTCCAGGCTGATGCTGGAAAGTCCGAGAAAAACCAATAAATAACAACTGTGCACTGACCAACCCACCCAAGAGCAATAGAAAAGAGACTTCAATACAATAAGTAATGCATAATATCCCAAAGGGAAAGAACAAAGTCCAGAATAACAATCTCTCATAACAATCAAGTCTGGAATAGATGTCCACAATGAAGTCAGATGTCCACCACTTTTCAACACTTTTCCTAGGTATAAATTAGTGTTTCGGACTTCAGGTCCTTCCTCATGAGCCAATACTGTAAGTCTCTTAGCATATTCTTAACTGGTAAACAATCATTCAGGTTTTATATGGGCCAGGTCTCCTAACATGTGGAGGCATGTTTGGTCCAACTTACATAGTAGCAACCCTTGTAGGTGCTTTCTAAAATTTAGGAGACCTGGCCCATATAAAACCTGAATGATTGTTTACCTGTGAAAAGTGGTGGACATCTGACTTCATTGTGGACATCTATTCCAGACTTGATTGTTATGAGAGATTGTTATTCTGGACTTTGTTCTTTCCCTTTGGGATATTATGGATTTGTGTACTGTCCTATGATGGATTACATGCATCACTTATTGTATTGAAGTCTCTTTTCTATTGCTCTTGGGTGGGTTGGTCAGTGCACAGTTGTTATTTATTGGTTTTTCTCGGTCATTGTTTACTGTGGACTGTATTGTTGTTTTTGATGCTGGAAAGTGCCATCAAGTTGCAGCTGACTTACGGCAACCCCATAGGATTTTCCGGACAAGAGACGAGCAGAGGCGATTTGCCACTGCCTGCCTCAGCCTAGTGGACTTCCTTGGTGGTTTCTCATCCAAATACTAGCCAGGGCTGACCCTGCTTAGCTTCTGAGATCTGATGAGGTTGGGTCAGGATGTGTTTCAAGTTTGGGACTTCCATAGTCACACCATTCTCAACCAGTGTCCAAGAGGATGGGCAGTGGCTCAGTGGTAAAGCTACCTGCCTTGTGTGCAGAAGGTCCCAGGTTTGATCCCTGGATAGGATAGAATAAAAGGATCAAGTAGTATTTATTTATGTATTATTTATTTATTGTCCTGACCTAGATGGCCCAGGCTAGCTGGAACTCATAAGATCTCAGACGTTAAGCAGGGTCAGCCCTGGTGAGTACTTGGATGGGAGGCCACCAAGGAAGTCCTGGGTTGCTGTGCAGAGAAAGGCAGACTGCCTCTGAATATCTCTTGCCTTGAAAACTCTATGGGGTCACCATACGTTGTTTGTGACTTGATGGCCAAAAATAAAATAAATTATTAAAATACATGTACATTGCCTTTCCTCGTGGCTGAAGGCAGTTTACAAGTAATGTTTTATTAAGTAATAGGTGATGGGAAAGACCTCTACCAAAGAGCTGCTGCCAGACAGATTAGACCAAACATACAGCCTGCAGCCCGGATC